TCGAAAACGAAAAATTTCAAAAAAAACTTTTTAAGCATTATTTTTTGTATAAAATTGTTTTTTTTATAACTTTTTCAATAATTTTAAATTATTTTCAAATTAGACATTTTAAAAAGAAGTTTTTACCACTTTTTGAATATTTTTTGCTTATTTTCAAAACTAACTTAAAGTTATTTAAAAAATGTTCTTATGCAAATTAAAATTTTTACCTCAAAACTACAAAATTTATTGTTTCGAAAATATTTATTATTAAATTGTTTAATTTTTTCAGTAAAATTTCATTAATTTACTTACGATAAAAGTTCCATACTTTCAGGCGCACATAAAAATTTTTATATTTTAATTTTAAACTCGAAAAAAAATTAAATAAATTTTTAGTATTAAAATAAAAAAAAAAAAATGATGACTATAGTCTAACTTTAGGAGCTATGCGAAAAAAAATTTAAACAGAAGCAAGTTATATGCCTAACACACGTTTCAAATCAAGTTTTACTGGCTACAACTTTCAGTTTCAATTTAATATGCTCTTCTTTCTTTTTCATACTACACCAAAAATATGTATAATATTTCTAACAAAAACAAATTTCCTATACTCAAAATTATTTTCTATTACTCACCCATCATCGCCCAACAGCCGCTGCTCACCCCAACCTAAACCGTCGCGCACAATACAATCGGCCACATGCAGACCGTACAGCTCCTGTTTGTCAATACTGATGACAATCGTCAGCGGATCACCAATTTTCACATCATCAGCAATTTTATGCTCGGAATTGTAGATTTTCATATGGCAACCGGGCATCGGTATCTCGTTGAGACTATCGTCTTCTTGATTGCCGGCATCCACAGCATCATCGCTGTCGTCACCGTCGTAGACGTCTTCCTGATCGAAGTCATCGCCTGTGGCGCGATACTTATCCAATGAGCGTCCATAATCGCGACGATCGCTACCCCCCCCCACAGCTGCCGTTTCAGCGCTACGAAAGGCTTGTGGCTTTTGCGCATGCTTGCCACTGTTCGCTTTGCGGCGTTGTCCATGCTTCTTCTTTGGCGTGCTAGTCGCTGCATCACGACTCTTATACGAGCAGCGCACATGATAGCCGCGACCGGCGTCGGTGATGAGTTTCAAATGTGGTTGCAGGACAATGGTATTGAAGAACTCAATGCCACCGTCATCCTGAAAGTAAAGGGGACGGAGAGTATGTTTATTTTAATATAAAAAATATATATATATAAATTAAATATTAAATTATTTTATTATTTTTTTATTGCTTAAAAATTTCCTCCCTTTGCTTGGGTAATTTGTTAGACAGCGCATTTCTAACGCCATTACTTGTGTAAGCTAATAACTTAAACATATTTACATAATCCGCAAATTTGCATTTTCGTATAAATATTTGATGTCTGTGCAATAACTCGTCGCTGCCTTTTCTCTCTACCGTAGCTAACACTTACAATTTTGATTAATATCTAAGCGTTGCTTTCGAAAGATGTTGTTGTAGGTTTTTTTTATTTATTTTATTTTTATTTACCTATATATATATTTTTATAATGAAAGGAGGACGCCGCTTTTGTATGCTCTCTACCGCATTTCGCTCAGTAAATCTATTAGGCAGACTATTTCCCTATGCAATTGGGCAGTCAATCTTGTGCTTGACGCTGTTAAATGTTTGTAAGCATTTTTATTTGAAATATCTATTTTTTGCTATAAAATGTTTCAACACAACTTTCACAAGTACGTAGCAACAAATTTTAACTATTTGCAATAAATTAAGCGGGTACTGGTGTCAATTTACACAATAGTGTTGATGACTTGAATATATCTCAAATATAATTTGTTTTTCTTTTTTATATATTTGTAATACCTTTGACTAATTTTAGTACAATAAGCCTTGATTAGCCCATAAATTGTGTAAGAATTCTACAGCCAAGAAATACACTTAGGCTTTTTCTTTTTCGTTGATACTACATTTTGGTGATCGGCTTACACAGATCTCTCGTGAAACTCCTATACTGAACGATATATAAGCGATAAAACTAACTGAAAGTATGGAAATCTTCAAGTTTGGTTTGTGTAAAGAGAAGAAAATGTACGTAGAAATATATGTAGTGTACTCGCCTTTTCCATTTATTTGTCTGTATATCAAAGGTAATATATACGGCTATTTTTGCATTGATATCTTGATTTATATTCCAAGTAAATTGTATAAAACCAATTAACCTAACCGGATTAAATTTTGGTTATGTGACTTTATTTTAAACTTTTGTTGCACTCTTCACAAATACCAAAGATTCCTGGCAAGAACTGGACACTGATCGTTCAGTTTGTAAGGCAGCTACTTGCTATAGTGAACCCATATCGACGGTTTAAACAAATGAGCAGCTGCTTGTGGATCAATCTTCGTTCTTGCAGATTGATATCTCAAAAACTGAGGAACTAATCGACTCAGTTCACAATGCTGATAATTTATATATACATATATTTTATAGGGTCACTGACGTTTTTTTCTAGATGTTATAAACTTGGATTTGACTTTGTCTTACATTTTGTATTTCTAATCAAATTTCGTATGTAGAATCATTGCGAATGTTGGAGATTCAGTAATATTAAAAACGCAAGCCTACGAGTGGTACAAAGCCTTCAAAGACGGTCGAGCGATCGTTGAAGACATGCCTCATTCTGGACGACCTTCAATTAATGAAAATATTAAAAAATTGAAATATATGATGCTTGAAAATCGGCAGTCTATACGTCGGCTGGTGCATTAGAATCTGCTATCTTTATTGATTGTCCAGTGTGAATTTCATGACATTTCATTGAAATTCCATCGAAACTGTGCGTGAGTTCATCAAAAATTAGCCGAAATTCATGGAAATGGAATTGAACATCTCATTTTGAATGAACGTTTAGACTTACGAAAGGTGTGTGCAGGTGTTTGTTCCGCACAAATTGACTGACGACCAAAAATTGCTCAGAATCTCGCATTCGTAGGACGATTATTTTACCAAAAATCACATTCACCTCTCCCCGTATTCACCTGATATGGCAACGTGCGACTTCTTCCTTTTCGGAAAAATGCATTTTCCCTTGAAAAGAAAGCGTAATACAGACGTAGACGCCATTCAAAAGGCTTGCACCGGCGTACTTGTGGCCATACCGGCCAACGAGCTAAAACACTCGTTCGACATGCTTTTGGACCGTGCAAAAAGCTGTATTGATGCAGAAGGAGACTATTTTGAATAAAACAAATTGATTTTGTCGAAAACCCCCCTTTTTTCTGTATTTTTTTTAACTCCTGTTTACTTTGGAACACACCTTGTATTTACAGTTTTTGAGATCTCTCTTGTCACAAAGTATTTTACCGACATTGCTCCGGCGGTTGGTATTATCTATTAGCAATACCCTTAAAAAAAATTTTCATACAAATATTTTTAGTTATTGTTATGTCAAAATCTTACACAAAAGTACTCATATAATCAAGTGAAGCAACTATCATTATTAAAAAAATAATAATTTACCACCATGTAATAATTATATTAAAGAATTGCAATAAAATAAGAAAACGGCCGCCGACAGTTGATGCCTTCATATTCATCATATTTTTTATTTTTGATATTGTTGTTGTTGCCATCAACTACAAGTACCAATTTGCACAATAACGGTTATACACTTCTACTTCCTTATTGCATGCAAATGCAGCGCTTTTCACATACAACGCTCATGTATGTGTAAATGTTTGTGTGCATGGGTGTGTGCTTGTGTCTTGGCTGTCAGCACTCATATGTAATTTGCATTTATTTTCACATTCATCTTCATTACTGTGCTTGGCTGCATAGAAGAGTAGAAATTATAAAGAATACACACAGTAGAATGGCTTGCCCACGTCAGATAATGCCATTAAAATAACGGTGCTTGCTACTAACATACTGATTGTAAACAAAAGACTTGAAACACGAACACACAGTAAATAATTCAAATTTGCATATATGATATTATATTATTTTTTTCTACATTTTTTTTGGAGTTTATTGTATTTAAAAAAGGTCTTAAAAATATGTGATGGAATTTAGTTTATTCAATGTCAATTTCAATGTTTGTAAATTCAAGGAATTGTTTAATCCGATATCATAAATTGCTTTATGATAAGTATTTATACTTGAAAAATTATAATTTTTGTAGTTTCCTAGACAAAATTTAGGTTTTGAGATTATTTTGCATAAATTTTCAAAATATTTTCATGGAAAAATAATGTATTATTTTTATTTTTAGTTTTGAAAATATTTTCAAGGCAAAATATTTTTGTTTTTAAAATATTTTCATAGAAAATAATTATTTAAATGTAGTTCTAAAAGTAATCGGTTGTTCGTTCAAAATCGTATTTTGGGAGCCAATATAAAATTAGGTAGTCGAAAAAGTCTTTTCGTATTTTGCCAATAGATGTCGTGCTAGTCGTGCATATATCTCCAGTGCTATCAATCACATTATGTCATACCATATAGTTTTTGGAAAGGTGAAATTTTAAGCTTCATTTAAAAAAAAATTAATTCAGAGAAGTTAAAAAAAAATGCAGCAGCTAAAAAATTAGTGAAAATAATGAAGAAATTCGCTATATTTTGAAATTTTTGTATAAAAACAGGGGATAATGCCATCTAAACCACCAATAAAATTGATGTAGTTTACAGAGACGATCTTGTATCAGTTCGTGTAGCAAAACAATGGTTCGCTCGCTTCGGTTCTGGAAATTTCGGTGTGAAAGGTGCACCTCGCTCGGTCGACCTATCTTTGAAAAAATCGATGAAATTATGGAAAAAATTGACCAGGACCGTGACGGTAACCAGCCATGACATCGCTAAGTAACTTAACATTCATCATCAAGCGGTTTTGAACCATTTCAAAAAGCCTGGCTACAAAAAGAAGCTCGATGTTTGGGTATCTCATGACTTGTCTGTGAAAAATTTAATACACCGTATTAACGAAATGAAATCGCGAATAGTAACAGGTGATAAAAAGTGGATCAAATACGACAATACTGTGCGAAAAGATCATGGTCCAAGCGAGGTGAAGCTCAACAAATGGTCGCAAAGCCAGGATTTACCCCTCGAAAGGTTATGCTGAGTGTTTGGTGTGGTTGGAAACGAATCATCTGCTATGCGCTATTAAAGCCTGGCCGAACGATTCATAAACTGATAAGATTGAAGCAAGCAATCGAAAAAAAGAGGCCAGAACTGATCAACAGAGAGGACTTCGTCTTCCATCAGTACAACGCAAGACCACACACATCTTTTATGACTCTGCAAAAACTGGGAGAGCTTAACTGGGAAGTATTTATGCATCCACCATATAGCCCTGAACTTACACCTTTGGACTACCATTGGTTTCGGTCAATCCGGAACTCCCTTAATGGAGTAAAGTTGACTTCAAAGAGCCCTGTGAAAATTACTTGTCTCAGTTTTTCGGCGATAAAACAGAAAATTGTTGCACTGATGGAGTAATATCTCTAGCGAAAAAATTACAAAAAGTGGTCAGCCAAAATGGGACATATTTGGCTCATTAACGGTCATTACAAATATAAAAAAATAAGTCGACTACCCAATATAAATCATTCAATAAATCGAGCTGGACGGTACTCAAACCACATAGGCTTAGGCCAACTTAGCACTTCCTCGTAAACAGTGCAACAACTAAAAGGCTTTAAAAGCACGCACTACTCACACATACCTATAAAAATATATAAACACTTGGGATTTTATGTTGTTTGCACGTTAAGTTAGYATAGTACTTAGTTAGTTAGAGTTTTATTACATATTTGTCTGGTAAAAATATATACAAATAGGCATATATGGGTAAACACTTATATATACACAAATATATACATATATCTGAGAGCTGTACAAGTATTCCAATCTATCTGTAACTATTTGCTACACAGCATGATCTCGCGTTCTTCATCTATATACACAGAAACATACATATATGTGAATATATGTTCTAACATCATTACTTTAAAGGGTTTCATGTGGTCATTTTTGTAAAAAAATAAGAATTTTATGCTTAGCTTAGTGTGACGCTTGTTGCCTGCCGTTGCTGTTTCGCAGCGAACGCAGCGAGATACTTTTCTTGATTATTTCCTTTTCCATATTTTTTTATGTGTGCTATTATTATTTTTTGTACTTCTT